ATCTGGTAAAGAACCAAATATATCACACCTAAAAATATTTGGTTGTTCTGTGTATGTACCAATTGCTCCACCTTATCGTACTAAAATGGGTCCTCAAAGAAGGCTGGGAATTTATGTTGGTTTTAAATCACCCTCAATTATTAATTATCTAGAACCTATGACCGGTGACTTATTCACCGCACGGTTCGATGACTGTCATTTTGATGAGACAGTATTCCCAGCCTTAGGGGGAGATATCAAAGAAATGGACCCACGTACGAAAGATATTACTTGGAATGCAACAAATTTATCTTTTCTTGATTCTCGCACAAATGCTTGTGAACAAGAAATTCAAAAGATTATTCATTTACAAAATGTTGCAAACCAATTGCCTGATGCTTTCACAGACTCAAAGAAAGTGACAAAGTCACATGTTCCAGCTATGAATGCTCCTTCTCGAATAGAAATTCCTGCGGAGATTAGCGAAAGAACACTTGCTACTGAATCTATGATACGTAAAAAACGTGGTAGACCACTTGGTTCAAGAGATTTGAAACCAAGAAAATTTAAACAGCAAGTTGTAGTTTGTGATGCCAAAGAAGTTCAACCTTCTCAAGAAGAAAATGAACATTTTGAAAATATCGGCCTTGAAGATAACATCAACAATAATGATACCTCAAAAGAGGATCCAATCACCTTCGAAGAGGTAAATATTCCAGATAAAGATAGAAACGTCGATAATTTTGAAATTTCAATTAATTACGTTTCTAATGGAATACAATGGAATAGAAATGATATTGATGTTAATGATATATTTTCATATGCCATCGCCACAGATATAATGAATGAACACGATGACAATGAGCCTAAATCTATTGACGAATGTCGTCGTAGAAATGATTGGCCAAAATGGAATGAAGCAATTCAGGTAGAATTAAAATCGCTAGAAAAGCGTAATGTTTTTGGACCAATTGTCCATACGCCAAAAGGCGTAAAACCTGTCGGTTTTAAATGGGTTTTTGTGCGTAAACGCAATGAGAAAAATGAAATCGTTAGATACAAAGCTCGACTTGTTGCCCAAGGTTTTTCTCAAATGCCAAGAATCGATTATGATGAGACGTATTCTCCAGTAGTTGATGCTACAGCTTTAAGATTTTTAATTGGCATGTCTGTTTTTGAAAGGCTGCAAATGCGCCTAATGGATGTGGTGACCGCATATTTATACGGTTCACTCGATACAGACATATATATGAGAATTCCTGGAGGCTTTAAAATACCTGATGCTTATAGCTCGAAATCTCGAGATTTATTTTCCATAAAATTGCAAAAGTCATTATATGGATTAAAACAATCTGGACGCATGTGGTATAACCGTCTCAGTGAATATTTGATTAAAGAAGGGTATAAAAATGATCCTATTAGTCCATGTGTTTTCATTCAGCGATCCGAATCAGGATTCGCCATAATTGTAGTATATGTTGATGATTTGAATATAATCGGAACTCCTAATGAAATTGAAAATACTGCAAAATATCTCATGAAAGAATTTGAAATGAAAGACCTTGGGAGAACAAAATTTTGTCTCGGCATTCAAATTGAACATTTGAGAAATGGTATTTTCATCCACCAATCAAATTATACCGAGAAACTTTTGAAGCGATTTTACATGGATAAAGCACATCCGCTCAATTCTCCAATGGTGGTTCGATCTCTCAATGTGCATGATGATCCTTTCCGACCTTGTGAAGATGATGAAGAAATCCTTGGTCCCGAAATACCATATTTGAGTGCTATTGGAGCATTAATGTATTTGGCTAATAATACTCGACCAGATATTGCTTTTTCTGTAAATTTATTAGCCAGGTACAGTTCTTCCCCAACAAGAAGGCATTGGAATGGTGTCAAACATATATTCCGATATCTCAATGGTACAATCGATCTTGGATTGTATTTCAAGAATGGTGCAAATGCCACTTTAATTGGTTACGCGGATGCAGGATACTTGTCTGATCCACAAAAGGCAAAATCACAAACAGGATATTTATTCACCTATGGTGATACCGCTATATCATGGAGATCAATGAAGCAAACATTAACTGCAACATCATCAAATCATGCAGAATTAATTGCTCTTTATGAAGCAGGTTGTGAGTGTGTCTTGTTGAGATCAATGATCCAGCACATACAAAATGAATGCGGTATAAAATCTTTTACTTATAATCCTACTGTGATTTATGAAGATAATACAGCATGTATAGCTCAGATCAAAGGAGGTTACATCAAAGGGGACAGAACAAAGCATATAGCACCAAAACTTTTCTCCACACATGATCTTGAGAATGACGGAACGGTTGATGTCAAACAAATCAAGTCATGCGACAACCCTGCTGATTTGTTCACAAAGTCATTGGCACCGAAGAAATTTGAAGAACTGGTCCATAAAATTGGAATGTATCGTCTTCGAGATATATGTTAAATTGAGGGGGAGTAATATAATGCACTGCACTCTTTTTTCCTTCGTCAGATTTTTATCCCACTGGGTTTTTCTTGACAAAGGTTTTTAACGAGACAGTACATTATAATACTATGAAACTAATACCCCAGAATAATTAGAAGATGACCATTCAAGGGGGAGTGTTGAAATATATTGAATAGTCATCTTCCAACTATTCATGATCAGGAACAATTATCATCATTGTTAATATAAATAAGAAATCATAATTATGATTTCTAGATGGTAATTGTATGGCTCACAATTAGCCCCTGATCTAGACATGATTACATTTTCTCCTATAAATAGGAGCATTCTCCTTCATTGTAAACACACCATTATCACACTTCTAATAACATCTTTCTCACTAAGTATTCAGACTATACTTTCTCTCCCTGATCTTCTGCTTATTTCCTTCCATTTTATAACAGAGAAGATTTTTTTTTCTTTTTTACTTTCCTTCTTCAATTCTTCTCATATATTAAAAAAAAAACAAGAGAGAGAAAAGGGTCAAATAAGGCCTTCTACTATTATGAAATAATCACATAAGGTCATGTACTCAATAAAGTGTCATATAAGTACCTCTACTTGTAAAAAGCAATCAAATGGGTCCTAATGACCTATTTAACACCTCTTAATCCCGGTTTTAGTGTACTTCTAACCATTTTTTTAGAATAGATTATGCGGCATACGTCGAATATTTAACTAAGATTGGTTTAAATACAAGTCAAAAAAATCGACATGTAAGCTAAAAACCGGGATTAGGAGGTTGTAAATAGGTCATTAGGACTCATTTGATTTTTTTTACAAGTAGAGGTACTTATTTGACACTTTATTGAGTACATGGCCTTATGTGACTATTTCATAATAGTAGAAGGCATTATTTGACCCTTTTCTCTTTAAAAAACCATACCACCGTCGTTTGTCTGACTCACAGTACCTTTAACAATGAAATCGGCGACTTAATCGGATTAATAAATGATAACTCTAACTCACTATGAAATGGGCTAACCCTATGGATGTCGAGTGTGGACTCATTTTGACAGTTGTATTTATAGTCAATTGAGTACTCTTTTAAACTTCGATTGATGAATTCACATACAAGTAACTGTTTCTATAACTTTAAGAAAAATTTTAAACACATAACTTATCATGCGGTGCACGAGTAGACACACCAGTGTAAATATACAATAATCACCTAGTCAAGTTCGTAAGTATTTTTAATTCTAATACATAAAGTTTTAGATAGAACATATTGGTCTTACATAGGAATTAGGGAAAAGAGTCAAATAAAGCCTTCTACTATTACATAATCGTCACATAAGGTCATGTACTCAATAAAGTGTCATATAAATACGTCTACTTAAGAAAAAGCAATCCGATGAGTCCTAATAACTTGTTGACAACCTTATAATTTTGATTTTAGTTTACGTGTCTCTATTTTTTGCTTTGTATTTAAGCCAATATTGGCAAAATATTCCATGTTAGCTTTATAATCTATTTTAAAAAGACACTCAAACGCACGCTCAACCAGGATACCAGGATTATGAGGTTGTCAAGAGGTCATTAGGACTCATCTGATTGTTTTTTATAAGTAGACGTGTCTATATGACATTTTATTGAGTACATGATCTTATGTGACGATTTTATAATAGTACAGGACCTTATTTGAGCCTTTTCTATAGAAATTACCCAACAAACATTGTATCACAATAATAGCAAAATGAACTTTGAGTTAAGTTAGCCACTATTGTGTTTCAGATTTTAATTTCACAACTCTACTCATTAGTGCAGGTTCATGCATATTTAACCAATAAATATTTTTGTAATCAAGTACCCGGTTAAAAATGACCGAATCTGGCGGGTAATGTGGGCTCGGGTTAATCTTGTGCCGCCCAAATCAAAAAATACACGAAGGACATAGTTGTCCAAGACAGTATGTTACCCTCCATGTTATGCTGACTTGTCAATTTTTTCTTATGACATTGTAGACATCGTAGTCTTCATTTAACAGCGCCTTCTACATGCTGGTTGAGCAAAAAATAATACAGAGTATCCAAAACCGACAAGTAGTTACCGAAGAATATGGATGCATGCGAGTTTTCTTTGAATTAATTAAATAACAGTTGGACAAAACATCATCACCTGGAAATGTTGCGTTGGGGAGGCCTTTAGGAATTTCAGTTTTTGGGTTTTGACATTCATCCTATGTTGCTGGACATTCCATACATCTATTGACATGTGTGATAAATTTTTTAATATCAACAGCCAAGGATTGAAGATGCTCTAAAAATACTCTCTCCGTTCCTGTTAAGATTGTCTCGAACACTATTTATTTGGTCAACACAAATCACTCTTAATCTCTTATTTTTTATATCAAATTTGATTCTGATTTTTATGATTGCGTAAAATTTTTAATCTAATTTTTGAATATGTAAAAAATATTACGGAGTATAAAATATATTTTGCGTGGGAACAAAAATGTGTTTGCTTCATGGTCAATAAAGAATTATAAACCCAATTATTCCTAAATCGATTCCCGTGAGCTCCCTATTCCGCTATTGGGGTGATGAGAAATCCCAATTGGGAAACCTATTCCTAAAAAAGAATCTATTGGTAAAACCCTGCACATCAGAAATCAATTAGCGACCACCTTCCCGGACGTGTTCTCGTTCCGGCGGTAAATTAATTAGACGGAACTGCTTTTCTCATTCCATATTGTTTCGTGACTTTCTGCAGTCGGCGAAGTAGATATGGTGATTATTCAGGAAAACCCCAGCCTAAAGCCTGATGATGATCGTATCAGTCAATTACCTGATGATATCCTCTGCACGATACTTTCATCATTGAGCCTCAAAGAAGGGGCGAAGATGCGGTTATTGTCTAGCAAGTGGAAAGGGTTATCCCCGTTTACATCCAACCTTCGGCTCGATCCTCTGTCCATTCTTGGAATTGGAATTTGCATCGATAGGGATTACATGAAGATAGTGCGAAGTCATAAATCTAAGTTTGTTACTGCGGTCACTCAAATTTTGAAGCTATATACCGGGCCAAAATTAGACAGTTTTGAGGTTAGTTTCCCCCTAGAGGATGATTCCGCTTCCAATGTTGATGGGTGGATAAGTTTTGCTCTGGAGCAAGCCGCCAACAGACTTATCATTGACTTTGGACCTCGCACGGGTGTTGAGTCCTACTACACTTTTCCTTTTCATCTTCTACCTGATGGTAAAGCATCTCCACTGAAGCATCTATCCCTCAAAGTATGTGCATTATCCTGTGTCCCCGATTATGCAGTAAAGGTTCATTCTTTAGTAACTCTCTACATTGGTTCCACCCGCATAAATCAAGTTTCTTTAGACAACATCCTTTCTGGTTGTGTGAACCTTGAGTTTCTGAGAATCCATCTGTGCTATGTGCCTGAGACGTGTTGCATAACCGGTGCATTAGGCCGTCTAAAACGATTGATTATTGAAGAGTGTATTGATTATGGCCGTATTGAGCTCAACTCTTTACCGGAGCTTACTACATTTGAATACATGGGTCCAGAAAAGAAGTTCACCCTCCTTGGTCTTCCATCTCTTGAGAAAATCTATTTTAGGTTCATAAATTATTCATATGTGGGCGCAACTTACGTTTTCAATCGACTTGCAAAAGATGTCTCACATCTACAAACTCTCTCGTTTATTTTAGCTCCCATGCAGGTGTGATATCCAAAACTACACCCCTTGTTTTTTTTACGTCCCAAAATTTTAGTACTTCTTTTTCCCATAGAACTACACTTTATAAGCTTTTAAAATTAAACTCAGAAGAAAACTTTGGGACAGAAGTAGTATATCTTAAACATTGGAAAAATAATAATCTGGCTTTTTATTTACTTTTTGGTGCCCTAGGAACCTCCCATGCCTGTCAGCATTACTCCATTCAAATATCTGAAGAATTTGGAGTTGTTTATTTTGGTAGCACCAAATTATGATCTTCTCACCATTGTACACATTCTTAATGCTTCTCCTGTCTTGCAGAAGTTCCTTCTCTCTGTAAGTCTGTTGTTCATTTTTTCCACTTGATTTTGTTCACTTCATAGATTCTCTTTTTGGTTTGTTTTACATAAATACACGGTAAGTTCTTGCAATGTGTGGTTGTTTACTTGTTTATCTCCAGGTGGAACTCACTGCTTCCATAATTTCTATTTTGATAAATGCGGAAGACAATCGAATAAAGTTTAAATTTGGAATTTAGTCTATGTTGCACGAAAATGTGGAAATCATGGGACATGGGGAAACGTGAAACAGAAAAAAACATTATTTTAATAGAAAATAACTAGGTGTAGAGTTTCCAAAGATTTACCGCACAGTTTCCGTAACGCAAACATACTCTTTTATGAGAGTTTTTGTGTTTAAAAAAAATTAGTATGATTTGGGGTTTATCCTAAAAGTCTGCATTGTCAGAGTACTAATTTGAGGGTGTGGTTTTTATTTTATTATTTGACTCGTATGAGATGTCTAAGCAAATTTATACGGAGTATATTTTGTCTAAAGCATCCTGCTACATCAACTTTTACTGATTATTATCTAATTTTATTGCAGCTATATATTTATCATAACGGGAAAAAAGCAAGTGGAGTAATTGATAATAAATGCATCCATTTTCACCTTAAAGAAGTCGAGATATGTGGGTTTTCTGACCGATGTAATTGTATGGAGTTAGCTGTTTATTTACTTGATAGTGCGGTTTCCCTAAAGCGGATGCTTATCAATTCTCAAGGACGAAAGTATCATGGAGTTGACAGATGGACTTATGACAAAGTGTTTCCTAAGAACCTAAATCGAGAGGTGACACATGATTTACTTCAAAAACACAATGTTGATTCCAAAGTAGAAATCGTTGTTATTTGATTTCCATTTAGAAGTTTGAGTTTCATCATGATGTAATGTAAATTTTGTAAACTTTTGAGTCATCATGAATAATTGAGTTTTTCAATTCTGGTAATTGAGAATAGATGCATCCATTTTCACCTTAAAGAAGTCGAGATATATGGGTTTTCTGATCGATGTAATTGTATGGAGTTAGCTGTTTATTTACTTGATAGCTCCGTTTCGCTAAAGCGGATGCTTATCACATCTCAAGGACGCCAGTATCATGGAGTTGACAGATGGACATATGACAAAGTGTGTCCGGACCTAAATCGAGAGGTTACGCGTAATTTACCTCAAAAACACAATGCTAATTCCGAAGTAGAAGTGGTTGTTATTTGATTTCCATTTAGAAGTTTCAGTTTCATGTGTGTCCGGACCTAAATTGAGAGGTGAAACTTTTGAGGCATGAATAATTGAGTTTTTGGATTCTTGTAATGTGGAGGGTTGTGTGTTTTTGGCTTTTTGCTCAGATATGATGTAAAATGGCTGTTGGATATTTTTGATGTTGTAAATGTGGCGGTGGAGTAAATTTATAATAATTAATAAGTACTGTTATTAACTGTTTCCTAGCCCCATAAATCAAGAGATGAAATGTGATTTGCTTCAAAAACACAGTTGATTCCATAGTAGATGTCATTGTTTTATTTTCATTTACGGGACCAAAGTTAGACACTTTTGAGGTTACTTTTCCACTGGACGATGATTCCGCTTCCAATGTTCATGAGTGGATACGTTTTGCTATGCAGCAAGAGGGGAAGCAGCTTAAAATTGACTTTGGACCTTGCTCCAAGGGTGTTTGTTCCTACTACCACTTTCCTTTGCATCTTCTTCCTCATGGCAAAACGTCTCCATTGAAGCATCTATCCCTCTTTTTTGTGGATTATCCTATGTGCCCAATTATGCAATAAAGTTTCATTCTTTAGTCACTCTCTGCATTGGTTACGTACTCATAAATCAACTTTCTTTAGACAGTATCCTTTCTGGTTGTGTGAGCCTTGAGTTTATGAGAATCCATCTGTGATATGTGCCTGAGACTTATTGCATAAAAGGTGCATTAGGCCGTCTAAAAAGATTGATTATTGAAGATTCTCTTGATTATGGCCTTATTGAACTCAATTCTCTACTGGAGCTTACTACATTTGAATACATGGGTCCAGAAAAGAAGTTCACCCTTCTTGGTCTTCCATCTCTTGAGAAAATCTATTTTGGTTTCATAAGTTATTTATCTGTGAGCACAAAGTACGTTTTCAATCGACTTGCAGAAGATGTCTCACATCTACAAACTCTCTCGTTGTTTTTAGCTCCCTTGGAGGAACCTCTCATGCCTGCCAATATGACTCCATTCAAATATCTGAAGAATTTGGAGTTGTTTATTATAATATTACCAAATTATGATCTTCTCGCCATTGTACACATTCTTAACGCTTCTCCTGTCCTGCAGAAGTTCCTTCTCTCTCTATATCCTCCTGATCATAATTTTCAAAGTAAAGCGAGCGGAGTTATTGAGAATAGATGCATCCATTTTCACCTTAAAGAAGTCGAGATATATGGGTTTTCTGACCGATGTAATTGTATGGAGTTAGCTGTTTATTTACTTGATAGTGTCGTTGCCCTAAAGCGGATGCTTATCACATCTCAAGGACGCCAGTATCATGGAGTTGACAGATGGACATATGACAAAGTGTGTCCGGACCTAAATCGAGAGGTTACACGTAATTTACTTCAAAAACACAATGCTAATTCCAAAGTAGAAGTGGTTGTTATTTGATTTCCATTTAGAAGTTTCAGTTTCATCATGATGTTATTTGAAATTTGTAAACTTTTGAGGCATGAATAATTGAGTTTTTGGATTCTTGTAATGTGGAGGGTTGTGTGTTTTTGGCTTTTTGCTCAGATATGATGTAAAATGGCTGTTGGATATTTTTGATGTTGTAAATGTGGCAGTGGAGTAAATTTATAATAATTAATTAGTACTGTTATTAACTGTTTCCTAGCCCCATAAATCAAGAGGTGAAATGTGATTTTGCTTCAAAAACACAGTTGATTCCATAGTAGATGTCATTGTTTTATTTTCATTTAGAAATTTGAGTTTCCTCATTATGTAATCTAAAACTTGTAAACTTACTAGTCAAGAATATTTGATTTTCCGGTTCTTGGATGTTTTAAGTGTGGTGGGGAGTAAACTCTACAATTAACTGTTATTATAATCATCCACATTCTTACTGACTAATTGAGAGTTTAGTTTTAAAAGGCGCGAATGGGGCGTAACGAACTAGGCGCAAACCGCACTCTGGTGATTGAAAAATCGTAGCAGAGACCCCTTTCGCGCTTCTGGAGGCATTGAACTCTTCCGCTCCTCTCTTTTCTGCACAAGATAGCTGGTATGTCAAACATTGTTTCCTTCTTATCTTCATCCTTCATTCCTTTAGTTCCTTTCTCCTTGTGCTTATTCCTTTCCCTTCGCGTCTTCGTCTCGTAATCTCTTTGTATTTTTCCTGTGATTCTTTCTGGTTGAATGCTGCTTTATCCCTCTGTGTGCAGTCTACTCTGCTTTTCTCCTCTGCATGAATGACACGATTGCATTCATTGTTTATGCTGATGGAATAAAAAGAGCTTGGAGATATGGCTACTTAATGAGTGAAAGCCATAATAATATCTGTTGGAATAAACAAGCAACCATATACCATACTGTATTTCTATCGAGAGGCGTTCCACAGATAACCGTCATGAGTTAGAGTTATGAAGATCCGGGGGCTATCGCCCCTCCAACAAAAAATTATTCTTAGTGTATATATATAAAAGAAAAATAATTTTCGTCTCTCAAAATATAATTTTCGCTCCCCATCATGAATTTTCTAGGTCCGTCCCTGATCATGAGTAATAAAATTGTACGTAGTATCTTTTTGTTTAACCTATATTGAATTCAGAGAAAATGGTCAAATAAGGTTTTTTACTACTATGAAATTGTCACATAAGCTCATGTACTTAATAAAGTGTCATATAAATACGTCTACTAATAAAAAACAATCAAATGGGTCCTAGTGACCTTTTGTCAACCTTCTAATTCCAGTTTTAGCGTACATCCGGCTATCTTTTCAAAATAGATTATAAGGTTGATGTGGAAAGTTATCCCAGATTGGCTTAAATACGGAGCAAAAGTAACGACATGTAAACTAAAATCGGGATTAAGAGGTTTATAACGGGTCATTAGGAGTTAGGACTCACCTGATTGCTTTTTATCAGTGGGCGTATTTATATGACACTTTATTGAATACATTTTATGTGACGATTCCGTAATAGTAGAGTGACCTTTTCCTTGAATTAATTTGGATAAGATTTATAAAGTGAAAGTTTACTCCATATATTTTATTGGACTAGGCCAACTTTATTTTTTTTATTTATCTAAGAAAATACTACGTATCACATTTTAATTTAATAACAAATACAAACATGATCTAATGAGAGGAGATAATAATATCTTTTGTTTAATCGTTGAACATCTAGGCACTCCGATCCAGATTTGATTCCATGCATGCCTCCTAACCGATTGAAGAAGAGCCTTGAAAGTACTACCTCCGTCCCTTAAAACTTTGCCAAAGTTGACTGGCACGGAGAATAATAAAGTAAAAACTGTGTGGTTAAGGTTTGTGCAGATGAGAGAGAAAAAAACGGAAACCACAAAAATTTGATTAAAAAGGAAAATGGCAAAGTTTTTTGGGACGTCCCAAAAAGGAAAGATGGCAAAGTTTTAGGGAAGGAGGGAGTAGTCCTGGACTCGGGCCAATTCGGGTCCGGTCCGGACCTAGGCCCGGTTGGGCCTCCAGTTCTAAATAGGTGGGCCCGGGACCGGCCTAGGTAGCCACCGGGTCTGGGATGGGCCTCGGGCCTATTTTAAGTTTTTTTCCCTTTTCCTAATTAATCCCCGACCCCTCACCCCCCACCTCCAACCCCCCCCCCCCCCCCCAAACACCCAGCCCAATCCATAGGAATAAAAAAAAATGAAAAGAAAAAAAAAAGATTTCAGCCCGAATCGGGCCCGGCCCGGCCGGGTCAAGGCCTGGTACCCGGACCAGTGAATTGGGCCGGTCCTAGGCCTGCACAGTATCAGGCCGGGCTGGTTCATGGGCCTGGTGGCCCGACCCGAGTCCACCACTACTTGAAAGACCAAAATAGATCTCCTAAAGTTTTGGAAAATGTTTTTTTGATTGTTTTTGAAGATATTTATTGACGACGTATCCGGAATTTGGGGGATTAGAGGAAATTTGAATGATGGTGGCCAAAATTAGGAGTTCATTGCGAATTGTGAATGTGGTCGACTTTTTAGTTTAGTCCAATAACTAGGATAGTACCCATGTGATACATGTACAATTTTTCATATAATTATTTTTAGGGGAATCACATTTTAATCCCTCAAACATACCTATATTGAAATAGTCACTTTTCATTTGTCAAAATTGATTTTTCTAAAAAAAAACAAAAACTATCCAAATTGTTATAAATGTGATTCCTTGAAGTGATACATTTACAACGGGAGCTAGAGCAATGGTCACATTTACAACAATTCAGAAAATTGAGGGTGTGACATTTACACACTTCAGTGAAATTTCGACGTGATCACCATTATATTTAAGTTGCAAAATGTGAAATTTAACATTATTTTACGTAGATTTAAATTTAGACACAAAAAGATAAAATATAGCAGTAACACATTAAACTTATAATTAAGTTAGTTAAAATATAGCAGTAACTACAATTAAGTTAGTTAAAATACGAAACCTAGAGGGAGGGAGCTCTCCCTTCTCTCTAAAACCTAGTGGCCGTCTCTCCTCTTTGTAGGGGTTAAGATTTTCCGCTGTCCCATCATTATGGGATTGGAGCGGCAGATTATTCTGATTTTAAGTCTTCTGACGCTTGGGATTGCAATTATGTCAGAAGAGATAACGTTGGTGGATGAACAGAGTGCAGATGGGATATTGTACTGTATCGGTACTGGATCATGAAGCCTTGGTCGTCCGCTTCGACGATGGTTGAGTTTGTATTCATACATATTGCAAGAGCCCGTCCTCCTCCAGACCCACCTCCAAAATCAGGTTGCTTTGTATGAGGTGACTGATTATATGTCTACTCCTAGGATTCACGATTGGATCTATAAATTCTGTTTGAATATTGTCTTGTATGCGTTCTTGATTTTAATATAAAACCGCATGTTACGATAAAAAAAGGGACATCATTTAGTTACTCCATATTAAATTAATGATGGAGATATGGAATCTGAGCAATACTCTAAAATTATAATCCGTATGTAACAATTGTAATACTCCGTAATTAAAATTCCATGATTTGGATGACCTTGAACAATGGAACCTAGAACTTGGATGACAAAACTGTTCAGAAGACCCAAATATATTGAATTAGTAAACATACATCATTAGTTTAACTTTTTATTGGCTGGCCGAAATAAGAAAAGCCCAATCGCAACCCATTGCATGACATTGCTTTCTCAGTTACGTTCAAATTGCCCATTGATGCATGCAATTCATGAGCAAACACTATAATCTG